ATAAGCATTCACTTGGCGAGCGTTTGCTTTAAAATGCCGAGACACGAGCTGGTGGCAGTTCGAGGAAAATGGTATTAATGGTATTTTCCTAACTGGTTTCATACATATTTATTTTACGTATTATGGTCTCGGAATTGTTTTTAGCCACCCGGAATTCTTTTCTGAATCAGCGGCGCCTCTGACGCATATAAATGGCCGGTTACGGACTTTTTTTGAACGGAACAGAGAAAGTATAACAGAAACTTTTTCAGATTCAACAGAGGTGGCTCTGAAACTTCTCAGAATCGGGGTGTGTCGTGGTAACAAACATGATCACCACCACATATTATTTAACTGTCAAAACGGTTTCAGACAAAACAAATCAACATTAACCGCAATAGGTGATTTTTGTTCAAACATATATGAATCTCTCAACGATAAACACAATCCCATTGCACTTTACTTTGACCTGACTAGAGCATTCGATAGATACAGTTGACCATAATCTTTTATTGGATAAGCATCGGATTGGTGTACGACGAGACGCAAATGAATGACTTGCATCTTATCTCAGAGAAAGGCAACAAATTGTCGTATTAGGTGGAAATAGATCATCTGAAAAAAATTGTTAATACTGGTGTCCCTCAAGGATCAATCTTGGGACCTGTTCTATTTATAATGTTTATCAATGATATGGTGTGCTCATATACTAATGCTGGAAAAATCGTCATGGATGCTGATGGCACTAATATTCTCAGAGCAGATAATGAATTAAAAAATGTTGGTACCAGAGCAAGCATTTGTGGCAATGATTTTCATAAAGATGCTCGTTCAATGGTCTAATATTAGTTAACCTACAAAAAACATTCTTTATGGTATTCACAACAAAAATATAAATCGTGATATGGATTTTTTAATACGAGTGAATCATAAATCAATAGAACAGGTAAATTTCATTAAATTTCTGGGTATCAAAATAGACCAAAAAATGACATGGGAACCTCATATTAATGATCTAACAAATAAATTGAGTACAATTTTTTTTATTATCAGACAACTCAAGGACAGAATATCATTAGACATACTTAAATTAGCGTAATTTGGACTTGTACAATCTGCATTGAGCTACGGATCGATTTTTTGGGGAAATTCAGTACATATGAATAAAGTCTTGATCATCCAAAAGAAAATAATTAGAAAATAAGAAATTTAGAAGTTTTTTTTGTGTATTTTCTAAAGCTGTCAATACTATCGTGGCTATTTCTAAAATGAGACGGTAAGTGGTTATACATTTCAACACCGCTATAGAGTCCTTTACTAGGGATGAAGAAGGCAATGGTAATTTAAAATTATTTTTAGATTTTAGGCGAGTGTTCTGACAGAGTGTTACAAAGAGAGCCACAACTGTGAATATATTTTTCTCTGCAAATAACTGCCTATATGAATTGTGCGGTCCTAGTTTGAACACATATCTAATGGCTCTCTTTTGCAGTTTAAGTACTGAATCTAGCAGAGTAGAGTTACATACCCCCCAGAAAGGAATGGCATATCTCAGTTGAGATTCAATTAATGCATAATATGCGTTCATAGCCGTGGCAGTACCAAGTTCCCTTGAAATAATTCTCATTGCATAGCACCCTGAGGATATTGTATTCTTCAATTGGTTGACGTATGCTTCAAACTTCAATTTACTGTCAATATGAAGGCCCAAAAATTTTGTGCAATCTTTATTTTCAATCTTCTCATTTTCTAGAGGCATATCTTCTAGAGTACATTTGAAAGTTACTATATTTGTTTTTTTATATTAAAAGAGAGAAGATTCGAGTCGCGCCAAGACTTGATTACATTAATGTCTCTTATTATCGTATTATTCAGATCTTCAACAGTTTTACTATGCCATAAAATGGTGGTGTCGTCTGCAAATAAGTTAATTTTTCCAGAAGTAAATCATTGATATATACAAGAAAAAGAGTGGGTCCCAAAACCGATCCTTGTGGCACTCCATAATCTATATTGATATATTTTGAAGTTATATCATTTTTTACGACTTGACTGCGCCCAGTTAGGTAGGATTCAAACCAATCCAAAGTAACTCCCCCACAGCCGTAGCAATGTAGTTTCCGCAAAAGTATTTTGTGGTCTACACAGTCAAAAGCCTTTTTTAGGTCACAAAATACTGCTGCAGCTACATCTCCGGCATTTATATCTGAATATACCTCATACAGGAAGGAAAAAATTGCATCTTGGGTGTTCTTTTTAGCCTTTTTAGCCCAGATCCTCATTAAGATATGCAACATCCTGCTGCCGGTGAAGATGTGCCTCCGTAACCGATGTCCTGGAATCCAAATGAAATGATGAGACAAGTGTGCTGTCGTCAGCAAAGCAATATATTGGATTCTTGGTTTCAGAAGGGCTGGAGACAATATGGATCCCTGGGGAATACCAGCGTTGAAGGTGAAAGTATCCATCGACGGCCACTTGCAAGGAACATTCTTCCATGAAGCTGGAGAGCCACACACAAAAATGATCCTACAGGCCATAGCATTGAAATTTGGCCAGCAAACCCTCATGCAACAAACAGTCGAATGCCTTAGAAATATCAAGCGCAACAGTTCTTAATTCTCCACGTTTCTCAATTACATTATTCCAAATACCAAATTGATGATCCCTCAAGATGTTGAAGCCTTCCAAATATTTCAGGATATGGAGGGTTACGACTCCCTCCAAACCCTTGTGAAAGTAGTTCTTCGTGTATATCTATTTAGCAAAACGCTTCATTGAAGTTTAACGGGTGTTTCAAGTTGTTCAAATATAGTTCTACTTCAATGTTGTTCATTCGTTCGACATACGTTTCTAGTTTTCGGAAAAACCCCTCCAAATATTATTATTTCTTTTTAATCACAGTAGTTCATTATCGACTGCTAAGATCGACATCCTTAAAATTCTGGGTCAAGGAAGTTTGTAAAAACCAGTAAAAAAATAAGAATTGTAATCAAAGCTATCGAAATGATTAAAATATCAAAAATATCTGAAAATTAATTTTCAGATAGGTACCCACAATCTAGATGAATTTCGTAGTCATTTTAGCAACAATAACTAAAATCTAAGTTGAATTTGAACCATTATTCTCTACTGTAAAAACATCGAAGAAAGATAAATCTGAAATATAATTCCTCCATATGAAAATTAAACACACATGATTACAAGTGTAGTTGAGGTTAACTCAATTGACTCAATCATCAAAAGTTGAATTCCATCAAGTTACATAATCCTGGAAAATCCTAATAATTGTACGCAGGTAACAGATCCATTAATTTTTCAAATATTTTCCAGAAAGAGTAATGAAAATAAGGGTAGGTACCTTTACCCAAGTGAGTAGAAGACATAATACCCTGGATTATGGAAACAAAGAACAGAATCAACTGAAAATTCTACCTGATATACTAAGTATCCTTTGAAATGCTTCAGAAATAGAAATTGAACAATAAATATTGTCTTTATGACAATATTTATTAGAAAACTAGGGTGAATTTTCTGAAATTTATTATTTTAAAAACAATATATTTCTATAATTTTGTCCCCATCAGTCCAACAAACAACATTTGAGACAATGTTAACCAGAACCTAAATCAATTTTTTTAATATAACCCATTCGCAAAAAACACTTATAGTGAAATAACCTAACCTAACTTGATTCAACATACCTAACTGTCAAAGCTATTCCAATGTTTATTTTTCATTCACTCATAACAGCCACAAACAACAACAACACTAAAATATAAACAAGTATGAAATTTTCTGACCGATTAACATTAGACTACTGAAAACAAATACAGAGTATCCAAAGGCGTCTTACGCTAAAATGGAGGGGGTAAGGAGGGGGACAACGGCCTGTCTAATTTGTGTACAAATATTATCTACATAATTTTCTTATCACTTTTGGGTTTTAATTATTTTGAAGAATTTATGAATGAAAAACATATTCAATATGTATGAATGGGAGTGACTGAGATGCGAGAAAATATTCAATGTACTAATTACCTTTTAGATGCTTCTGTCGATATATTTTGGGACACTTTTACATCACCGACAGATTCAGTGAACCTACATATTATTTTTTATATTATGCTAATTTTGTTCGTCATAAAAATGAAATTTATCGTGTGGAACAAATTTATCGAGAAGGTGGTATGTCATGACTTAATTTGACTTATTAATTTTTTCAATTACACAGTAGGTGTTAACATGAAAATGAAAGTTAAAACTAGTTCAATTGTATAATTTTTTTAATGAATGCCAAGGAAGATATTTGATAGTTTAAAGTGTCAACTCTTTGAGGCGTGTGATAAGGAAATACATAGTTTCAATATTTTTCCTGTATTTAAACCATCAATTATTTTTCTTGCACTTCATCGGCCAATATTTAATTCAATTTAATTTATTAATTTTTTTTTCTTTTCGACTTTCGGTTCTGAATATTCGGCTTCAAATATTTGAATGGTGAACAAAAACGCTAATTTTAATTACGTTTAAAAATATCACGTGTTATGGTTGAATTATTTACTATCTACCTCGTAGATTTCGATAACAATAATTTTCATTGAAACAAGGATCCTGCCGTGATAACGTTGCAAACATAATATTAAAATATGTTACAACTATGCACAAGCAGGAGTACAGTTTGCAATACCTTATGAATAGTTGTGCAACAGCAATACATGAAATAGTTCCGAGCGAAACAAGCAAATAATTTAGAAATCCCCGTTCTGGACTGATTAGGGGTTAATTAACGCAAGATATTCGAAATTGCCGCGTTATTTATGGTATTACTGCCGCCGTAAAATTTACTTTCACAGATCGCAAATTGGAAAACGGCGGTAATTAACAAGAAAAATGGCAAGTATGCAACTAAACGAGCAATTAATCTAACAATCCTACTTGGAAGCCACGAAACCAATTTCGCCGACTACAGCATATGTTTCGGTATTTAGAAATCAAGAGCTCTTGCAAATTGCACTTACCTTAGAGCGTTGAGGTATATCAAAAAGAAGCACTGGAACGCCAACTTTAACTCGACAAAAGTTTTTTCCTGACACACGGTGTATGTAGCGGCCCGCAGAAAAAAGAAGACGATACAAAAACAATGTTATTAACTAAACCACTCTCCTTAGATTCTACTGTCAACTTTGTATACATTCTTGAGATGAAGATTGCAGCAGCAACACTAGACGTCTACGTCTTACAGCTCAAACGGCCAACTTCTGACTGAAACGAAGAAAAGGAATTGTCTAGTCTAGCCAGGAAAGCCGGCTCACTCGATTTGCCGGGTACGAACACAACTCCCAAATGCGGCGTTGCCAGCAGTATTCGAAATCGGGAAGTAATAGTCAATGCGGAAATGTACTTGTATTTTCGGAAATATATTTGAGTTGATTTGTTGGAAGTTGAAAGTTTTCTGGTTGGCAAACATAGCATTTACATGTAGAACTTTTTAGATCAAGTAAAATATTGTTAATGTACCTAATAAGTTCAGTTAAATATGCCAGTTCTAGGAATGTTTGTTGGGTAAGAGATTCCCTGGAAGACGAGTTTCAGAATACATGACAGATAATATCAGGAACCCCCACAGCCCTTGTTGATCATGGAAGAGGCATCCGAAGACTAGATATCCAACCATAATTATCTAAAAGATTTGAGCGTAATGATAGTTAGTCCATTCTCCAAAAAATTATACAAATAAATACTGTTCGAATGTAATTTGTGAAGGAACGAGAGGTATTTCTGTTATTTATGAGTTTTCACTTCTTTCGTATCAAAAAATCTTTTTGAATAAATAATATAAACACATTCGAAAATATACTCTCTCTGAAAGACATTTCGATAATTTTTGTTCTCAAATCCCTAAAAAACTTTGAAAATTGCACGCAACAACTGATGAAGTGACAATTAAAGATTTCAAAAATAATGCACAACGGAAAGAATTACTTCGAAGTCAATAAAAACGTATTTTCAAAATACAAAAAATTAAAATCTCCCAAACAAATATCCATTCTTGTCTTAATTTTTTTTGAACCAAGTATGCTTTCTAGAGAAGCATACTATGAAAATCTCCCTTGAGTAAATATGTATTCCAGGTGCAGTGTAAATAGTTCTTTCCTAAAAAATCCGAAACCGAAAAACAAGATAACATAAATAAATGAATGAAAGAACAGTGAAAAAAGATTTCTAATTCAGTACCGACCGTAAAAAAATCATAAGCAGAAACAGCAGGAATTTCTTTCTTTCATTCGAGCTCTTCTATGAACTACATCAATCCTCAACGACACATTCTAAAAATTGAAATATACATTTTCACTGAAAAAATTTTACAAAAACCTCCGAAATATTAAGTGCTCCGGCAACGTCGCGATGATCATCAAGTATGCGAAGGCGAAGGCGTAGCACTGCGGCAGACACGCCATTGCTCGTTTGCGGATGATTTGAATTTTCTCGAAAAGTTATCATTTTCCCGATGCGTCAGCTACCGAAAATGAAAAATATGTAAATATCCGACGTTTTCCCATAGGATTTGATGGCTGTCCAATTGTACTTTCATCAAATTTCGCGAAAGAGTAAGAGATCTACTTGACAGCGCGCAGTAATTCCGAAGAGCTTGGTCAGACGTCAGAAGGCGAAAAGCGCGGGATTCTAGATGTTACCTGCGTACAAAGCGAGTCAAAATTATTTTCAGATCGAGTTCTTGCATTTAGATGAATACAGGAGTAGTGGGATTTCCATGAATAATCTTTGGTATGGTTTACACTGTTTACAAACTGTATTATCATGGCCGGAAATTATTTTATCAGTAACGTCAATTATATATAAGATTCGCCATAAATTTCGACTTCTACTTCGGTTTTTGAATGAGTGATGTTCTCAACTCCTGGATTGTAAACATTAAGGAGTTCGTGATACACATTCGGGGGAATCATTGCCCTAAAAAAACAAGAAAAATGCCAATGGGTGAAGAAAATTTTATGAAAGAATCATAAGTAGAAGAAAATGTTATCAACTCATCAGCTGGTTTAATTTTCCGGTATAATTGTATAGACTTTGAATGAAAAAATAGTATTTTACGTAACAAGTCCGGAAAATACTGTTTTTATTTACAATTAGTAGAAATTTCTACGCCTACGGCTCGTCCGGGACGTCTGCGAATCCAAAAAAAACGATTTTCGGACGTGTTGCGTTTTTTAAAGACAAGCACTACAGGAAAGTCCTCAAGACGCTCTAAAAGCGATGCTTCCGCGAAACTAACTTCAGCCACAATATTCACCAGATTTGACCCCCTGCGGATTTTTCCTGTTCCTGTCACAAGTGCTAAAGGGTACAATTTTTAAGGGGACAAAAAAAATATTTAATAAATGAGTATTTCTTGAGAAAAATGAAAATTCTCCTCATTTTTTGAACAGACCTCGTATATCCAGTTATGACGATTATTTCCTTCAAATCGATACAATAATGGAGAAATTGAAGGGTGGTTCGCCAAAACAGGGATGTAACGCTTCTTCCTAACAAACTATAAAACTGACAGCCATGAAATTAACTCTTAGGTAAAAATTATCTTGAATTATACCTGACTCTCACGGCGCAGTTATGCATCATTCTCAGAAGAAGTCAATGTCCTAGTCGAATCAAACCAATGGAATCTTATATTCAAATATAATTGCTACTAAATGTTGAAACTTTACATAAATTCTTCTAGAGATATTTAAAAGTTTGATTTAATGTTATGATTATGACATTACAAAAATCGTCACATTACATAAATTCAAGTAAAGCGAGTTTTTTCAACTAATATACTCAATTATGAAATCTCAAAAACCCATGAACGAAATATATATATACTATAAGAGTTTATTGAAATTATATATAAACCTAAAAGTGTTAAGACTTTTAGGTTATGTGTTTCAATATTAATATTTCTAAATTCAGGTGTTCAGGTACCTTTTCAAAATAACATTTCTGGAACAATTTTGTTAAATGACGTTGTATAATACGAAAGGAGCTGGAAAAATCAATAAATAAAAGGAAGAACCCAAAAAAATGAAAAAAATAAATACTCTGTAAGAAGGGTATAACCCTACAGGTGATGCAGCAAGAACCCAGTATAAGTTGAGGCATTTGAACGTATTCAAAAAACATTTCATTGTGAGATCTTCACTTGACAGTTTGAAAAACCGCGACAAATGTTTCGCTATACAATAAAATCTTCAATACTGACTAAACGAATTCTGTATCATGTTTTCATAGTAATTTGAATCACGATGACCTTTACTACCTGTCAAATTTCTACCTGTTAAATTTATTACATGAAATATTAATCTTTCTCGGATCAACTATGTAAAGTAGAGAATAATCAGATCCCATTTTACCTACTTTCAAGATTTATCCTATTTACCAATTTTATCGTTGCAAACTAAATTCGATGGAGAGGTACAATTTAAATCTATTTGATCATTGAACAATAATCCCGAAATCTTAAATATATTGATTTCTGAGCATTTCTCTTCCGAAAGCAATATGTCATATTTGTATTTGAATCGAAGGGGTTATATTTTTTAGGAGTGATTAATTTTTGGGAAAGAAAGTTTTTTGGCTTTCTACTACTCCATCTTGATACAAAAAAAGAAGGATGAGGGAGTCTTCCAAAGAAAGGAAAGAAGTAACTCTATACATGGATGTGTAGATCATGCAAAGAAGTAACTTTCAGACACAAACTGAAAGAAAGTCCTCCTGAAACAGCTACTTTCATATAAACATTGAATTACACGAAAGAAAAAATTCTTTCAAAACAAATACTTCTATATGAACACTGAATTATACTGAAGATACTTTTCTCTACTCAGTTTGTATTTCAAACATAGTAACAAATTGCACTTACATGGAACACTGCCATCCTCACTGGTATACACCGATGTTTCGCCTTAAGACACTTGCCCTGAGGCTCTTCAGTACCAAATTGTGTGTATTTTCTATAATGTTATCCAAATATTAAGGAATATATATTGCATCTGTCTACAGGAAAAGTTGAGGTATTGAAATCAAAGAGAAAAACTGGTTTTTTAGGATTTCTTATTTGTATAGAGAGCCTCAAAGGCCTTTACAAATCTTATGTCAAATCTGGAAAACTGAAATATATTCTAACTTATAAATTATCCCAGGATCATGTTGAATTGTTCTTTGGAGCAGTTAGAAGTCGTGGGGGATTCAATAACAATCCAACTGCTAGACAATTTGAGGCAGCTTATAAAAGGTTGATAGTTCATTCAGAAATAAAAGCTGGAGATACGGGAAATTCTTTGAACTTAGATGCAACCTCGATATTATTTTGTAACAGTGGTCGAGTTACCATCAGTGAGAATGGGGAAGATCTTTCTTCGACTACTGACCAAGCAATATTTGAGAATAAACTGAGTGAAAACATACGAGCGTTGGATTTTCTCCATTCTTCTGCTTGGTGTTTAACAGATTATGTTAATGATATTGTCTGTTATATGGCGGGTTATGTGTCGAGGAGCCTGGAAAATATTGTTTCATGTTTTAGATGTTGTCACTTTTATTTGATGAAAATGATGAGACTACCTCTACACTGCTTATAAGAAAGGAATATCGAAACCTCACTAAACCATCAAAGTTAGTAGTAGAAGTTTGTGTTGTTGCTGAAAAGTATTTTAGATTTTTCCATAAAACTAACTACATATTCAGTTATAGAATAAGAAACCTAATGAATGTTTTGGTGAATAATACTCTGAAAAACATGCCACCAAAAATATATGATTATTTTGGTGATCACTTGTATGATGAAGATGCCATTGGTGGTCATTCACTGCAGCTATTGAAACTGATTTTAAATATTTCAACTTTAGAATTCATCATGAAACATCCTCTAAATTAGATTCATCAACAAAACGAGTTAGGAGTATATTGACAAAAATTGTTTTGTTTCGAAATCAATAAAACTCTTAGAAACTTCGGAGAAGTTATATAATACTATATAATTGTAAAAGGTTAATTTTTAATTGACTAGTTTCAATTGTGAACCGACACTATTTTTCATATAAAATTATTCGGTATGGATATATTTATATTTGGTTCCTTTTCAAATTGTAATAATTTTTTTAATTGTTGTCATTGTTGTTTATTTTGTATTGTTTTATTTGTTTCATTACAGTTATTCTTCAAACTCGAGTTGTTTAATTTACAATCCTACCTCAGAACAAGAAAAAGATACCTTCTGACATGCAAACAAAGACTTCCTCTTCGTGCAGGAAGCCGAATTCAAGCTTTTTCGAAAGCCTTATGAAGTTGATATAGTTGCAAAATATATCTGGTGATAGCACAAAAATAATAGTTGATGTAAAATCTAACAATGAGTTTTGATTTCAAAGAGAGGCAATGACACTTTTGATGATTTTCGTTGTTAGAGAGAGAAAGTCTGCTACGACAAAATAATGGTGGGTTAAAGAAAATTAGACAGTCAAATTGTAAATTCAATCAAAAGGTGAATATTATCTTCTTACTAATTACTTTAGTAACCCATCTACTGTTAAAATTATAAAGAAATACCGTTTTGTGATTGTCATTTTGTACCTTCAATATGATAGAACTAGAATAGATCAAAATACTCAATTGAAAACATTGTTCCTTTTTCCTCTTTTTTTATTTATCAATTTTCAACAGTTTTTTAAAAGGACCGACTTTTTCGAGTAATTATATTTATTTCGAATACAATGAAGTTTTCCTGTAATTGATATCGGAAATATCTATAATCTCTAACAATAATTGATGAATAGATCTCTAAAGTGTTCATAAATATATAACATTTTGCATATTTTCGTTTACATTGCCCATATTGAATTTATTGCGTGCGCCACTGTCGTTGGAGGGTATGTCACAGTCTATCGCAATATTCCTCCTTCCCCGTAGCCCGCTCGCCAAGTCCATTTATTTTTCTACGTCCATGATTTGAAATCATTCAGTCTCCTATACTGCTATAAATCGACATCAGTATTGTTATAAATAAAAATATTTAGATTCGTTTAGAAAAGATATGTTCTAGAATTTCCGTCATCTTTTTCGTAGATATCAAGAACTTTGAAATGTCTCTCACACATTTATTTTTTATTCAAAACACAGTTAAATAAACCATCTGTTTTAAAAAATTATATATCTATTTATCTATCCTTGAGTGAATGGGAAACAAATTCTGACAAGTTTTTACCCACTTAGTTACAATAAGTGTAGAGATAACTTTTGGAATTGCAAATATATGATAAGAGTCATGGTGCCAGATAATGCGGATTAAGTATTTCGAAAATCATTTTCAATATGTCATATTTTGTTTGGTATCATAGCCATAAGAAAAAGTTAATTAGAATAGTGAACGGATTTTCATTAAAAAAGTGCACTTTGATGTTTCTTCTGTTATTCAGAAAAATACTATTACTTTATGGCTTGTTGAAAGAACATGTCATGAGTTCAAATGGCGTTGGCATAACTAATTTGCCAGTCTATTTCAATGTGTAAAATTTCTAAAATATTTTCAAGGTGCATAGTTCACTCTTCTTTATTTCTGAAGGTTTGTATTTGGTTAGTTAATGAGTTGTTCTTTTCTTCTCTTTTTTTTTGTTTCCCTCTTACTATTTTACTTTTTTAACTTTTTCTTTTTGGTAATTTCTTGTTTGCCTACTAACTGAATTATCTAAGAAGCTACATATTTGTTTTCTTTGTCATTTTTTTCCTTCTTCCCTCATAATAAATGGCGGAACATAAAAATTCTCTGTCAAATTCAGAAGAAAATAATTTAGCTAGCTAAATTATTTGAATAGCTATTCATTTTGTAACATTTCAATTTTCCACATTTCATTGTATACTGTTTGCGAGGCAATCTGAACACAAAGAAACACCTTGTTGCCAATTTAGCATTGTAGATTATAATTTCTTTATCCGGTGACAATTTATGTTCAATAGTAATAATACAGTTTTTTCAATCATTCATTTCAAGAGTAGAGATGCAAAACCCCATTAAAACTCTCAGAAAAACAGTATTCCTCGTTAGATTGGTATTCTTGAAGTGTCTCCTATCCCGGTGCAAGTAAATTGGTCTACAGTGACAGGTGTTGAAAAGTAGTAGGTATCTACATTGTTTCTGGAAATTCCTGTAGATGGCGTACGAATAAGGGCTTTCAAGTTGGTAATCCTTTTCAGCACTTATAATTGAATTTCAATAAAAAATCAAGAACCGACCTGCGCCAACCAACTAGGAACATGTACCGCTTTCTTGCTCTAGTTCTAGATCAAGCAACGAGTAAGGAAACTGTACAATTTTGAAGATTTGACCAAAAAGATGAAACTTCCAACTTTATGGAGTATTTCGGCAATGTTAACAAAAACGTTGAACACCCGGTAGAATGTTGGGATTAGCATTTGAACTGTCGTTCTTTCGACCGGCTATAAAGAAAAATTGTATACAATACACAAGCAGAAAGCTCGAAAGCCCTGAACTCGAACTGAACTACAACTACAACTGAGTTAGAAACTTATAGGGTTCATAATTAGTGAAACTAGTGCATATTCAGTGTATTTCTGACATTCAGTAATGTATTAAAAAATCGAGGTCAGAAATTTACTGAATTTGCATAAATTTTACCAATGGAAAACTACCTATTACTTTAAGATTTTCCTAACTTGGACAGTGCTTGGGTTCAGATGAGGGGCATTAGATTATTTATTTTACGACAGGGGCTTCAGTCTATCTAATAATTAGGTACGAGAACAAGGTCCAAGCTCGTGTTAAATGTATACTAACTAACGCCCTCTGTTAAGCTTAAGGGTAAATTAAGACACCAGTCCAAGATGGCTAAAAATACCGATTCGCTTTTGTAGAATGCTTTTGTTCTCGCCGCGAGAAATGAGATTGATCAAACTTTGAACACTTTGTTAATAGATGGAGCAAGAATCGTTTCCAAATGTAAATTTCGGTGTGAGATCTCTTTATTATATAAAGAATCAAGAGTGCCGTAAATCGAATGATTCCGTCAAAATATTTCACATAGGAAGGGATTCAAGTGATTTCTATTCATTTTGGAATCAAGACGTAAAAAGTCCTAAGCAGAAGAAGCATTAATTTTCAATATGTTTACTTCAGATTCATAAAAAAAAAATATAAATTGAAATAAATAAAGAAAATATCAAATTCAAAAGTGTTCCTAACATTACAGTATAACAATTTATGTAAATAGGACGTTTTCTAAAAATTTTACTATTACGCCACCTAGATTATTGTAGCGTAAGTATTTAACAGAAATGCCAGAACTCTATTACTCTTTTGAAAACTCTCAAAGACCATTTCAGATAAATCTAAGGTGTTTCATAATGCATCACAGAGTAGTTACAATTCTGTGGTATAATGACCAAGGATATACAAAAATGGAAAATAAAATTTAAGTCAAGTCATGAAATACTGAATACTTATATCATAGTATAAACAGACAATGGTATGAAGATATCTTTATACTATGCTTATATGCAGTTTTTCAGCTGGACATATTCTCTAGTTTACAATATTGTTCTGACCTGTACATAAAAAAAATAGTTTTTTTCTCACTATCACAATTCATCCGAAGAGATTCCCAATTATTTATAATAATCTAAATGATTCAACAAAGTTCTTATTTCAATTATTTATTATTGATCAGATCTCATTCAACTATTAGTATACACATCCATCACGAGATGTCACTTACTTCGTTATATATGGTATCGCCAATGATTTTTTCTGGATTTAGTTCCTAAAACCCCCTCCCAGAGACATCAATCTGAGTGAGTTTCATCGAATATATAATTAAAAATTCATTGAAGAATGGAAAATCCCAGATCATCCGTTACTTAAAAAATTTCCATTATTTTGTGCGACCGACACTATTTCATGTAATGCTTGCTTTATTCGATGAGGTTACATTTCACTGGGTAAATTATCAGTTACTGTTTACAGTAATTGTTATCTTGTTTTTTCATTGTCCCTAATCGAATTCAAAACAAAAAACATAGCTCCTTTATTCTATTTTTTATTATAAAAGGTCATTCAGATTCAAAACCTCTCTCCATTAACAATCGATTTGTTTTCTCAGGCTTCTAAATGTCGGAGATACATCTTTCTACAGGTGAGTGTATTTTTAATAAAAAATGACCGGTTTTTCACGCCTGGCTTCATATACAGGGTCGCAAGAACCTCCTAGAGTTGAGGGATTGCTGAGAGTGTACTCCAACAAATTTTGCCCGTTTGCTCAAAGAGTTTTGCTGGTGCTGAAAGCTAAGGAAATACCTCATGATATTGTGAATATAAACATATTCAACAAGCCTGAATGGTACTTCAATATACATTTGGAAGGTAAGAATGATGGGATTGACCTTTTGCCTATTTGAATTTTGAGTAGTCTATGTTTACAAATACCATAATAAGTTGGGATTTAGTAAATGTTATTTGCATTATTGATTGAACTCTGATATGACGGATTTTGTTATTTTCATAAGGGGTTGAAATTGACCATATTCACGTAAAAAGTATTGCGCATGTTTCTGGTATTTTCGAGAGTTTCATGGTTGGCAACACTGATATTCGACGTATAATATCAAAAAGAAGACATGTGAAAACTTTGAATCTTACCGCGTTTAAATAATTCATTATTTTGTTCATATTGCATCTTTATCTTATGCAAGTGAAAGCTTTCTTTGTCTTTGCGGTTTCCCCATCAGCTTTTACATTACACTGGTTCTAGTTTCACTGTAATGTACGAAAATACGATTAACCTTCCAGGATTTGAAAATATACCCTAAAATGTGGTCTTTTGGATGTGAGTGTCTAAAAGCTTAGTGCAGGCCTTTTCTGTAATCTGGAATGAAGGACGTATTCAAAAAACACACTTTAATGTGAGATTTCTACTTTACGGTTTCCAAAGCCGCGGTTTTGAAGTGTGTTTTTGAATAAGTTATAATGGATTTTCCTCAAGTAAGGTCGGTTCTATAATATTTTTGAAATAAATGCATATAAAACATTATTAAAACAAAATATTTTTCTTTCCATTTATTCATTTTACATATTTCATTGGTGCTTCAAAAATAGAATGGTTAACAAAGACCACTCGAATAAAAATAGACAAAATGTTTATAATTTTCTAACCTAATTCTTCTTCGTAATATACGTCGAATATCAGTGTTGCCAATTATGAAACTCCCGAAAATACCAGAAATATGCGCAACCATTTTTGCGTGAAAATCTTCAATTGGTAATCTCAACTTCATTGGTTTTTAACGTTGGTAACATTGTGCCTTTCTAGAGATGACATCATAGAAACATTATTCTGTATTCTGTATATAACAGTTGATGGAAATTTGTCTCTGATTGTCATGGTGCCTCATTTGGAGTGAGTCAGGGGATGAAATCTTATAAATCAATATTTCATTAAAAAATGTTATAATCATTTTAGAACAGAAGGTTCTTAAGAATAAAATGAGAAGAGGCACCTTCCACTGAAACTGAAGCAGAGTCAGCTGTTATTAATTTCACTCTGATAATTGTCTGTTTCATTTAGAAAATGTTCATAAGTGTGGCACATTTATTTTAGTCATATTTGAAAGAAGATATTTGATTTTTGATACAGGGGTAGACCTTCATGGGCCGCACTTTTTGCAATACTTGGCCCGAGTAATAGCCTCAAACCCAGCCTACTGCCATCGATCCCGCGAAATGGTCAAATTTTCGATATTTTGCTTCGCGTTGGAGATACCGAAATAAGTTATCTGAAAAGAGTTGTTTTTTGACCCTACACACCCAAAATTCGAAATCAGATTTTTTTTTATTTTCATATTCGAGTCCGATTTTCAATAAATGGTTCCTAATAATTAAGAAGCTATAGAAACGATGAAATAATCAAAATCAACGAAATAAATGTATTCTTATTAAATATATTAGGTATTCCATTCTCATTCCTACATTAATTCATTATTCTTCTTATTTTAAACCATTAATTGAAAATCGAACTTGAATATGACATAAATGTCTGTCGTATTTAATTCTCGACGTGAAGTTTCAAAAGTGAAATGTGATAATTTCGAATGAATACTTACTAGGTATGCAGTGGAATATAAAAACAGTTAATTTGTGAGTTTGTAAGGTTAACAGAGTATTAGTGGAGTTCACTATAGATTGAATTCTGGTCGAGTACAATTTTCATCGACTTAGGTAAGTTGGGATGAATCAGTGTACTCAAAAGTTTTTTAAGATTCAGCATTCATATACAATAGATGTTATTGTATCATTAATATGCTTCTGTAATTCACATCCGGGTTTTTGTTGTTTTTTTTTTACTTTTTCACCCGAGTCGATGTTAGTATCCTTTCTGGAATTGAATGTAGTTGTTCCTACTATTTTCTATCATTTATACAGTGTGACTCATTTAGATTTGGGAAACCCCAGTGAAGCCCTTATTCATTGGCAGATTTCAACCATTTTTCATTATCAAGTGAAGAACAAAGTTTAAAATGTTCATTTCTATTTTCGGAGTACCTACCTATACTATGATACTTCTTTGCATTACCGATTTTTTTAATGAAAAAATACTACGTCTCTGCCAATAATTATTCATATTGTTTTTCAAATTCTACCTGTATCTCGTTTACCATTAATTAATTGAGTGAGGTAACTACTATCGAACATTCTGAACATCTAAAACGAGTGTACCAACATGAAAAATAAAAAATTGCTAATCACATGTACAGCTTGTCAAATCTAGGAAGAGACTTGAGAATTTCTGCTCTCTCTCTTTCGCTAATAAGGTACTAGTCTTTCCCTAGATTTGACAATCTGTACGTAGCCTGTGAAACTTGAACATTCACCTTATTTTTTTAACACACTTCGATATAGTAGTTGTGCATTGTTTATATACCAAAAAATGCTCTTTATTAGTTACATTTCCACTATTGTATTATGGTTATTGGTTGTATATATTAGGGTTAACCTATTCCAATAAAGTTCTTCTTCATCCTCTTCTTCTTCTAATTTAAAAACAACACTTCATGACTATCTGTCATCGACATTACGGTTTAAGGTTATGACGATGCTATGTCAATACAGGGTGTTCTTTTGTGACTGTTAGCTTAGTGAGTTTTCCATTTTTAAGTTGTCATATCTTTGTTGTTAAAGAAATGGTTGAAATATGTTAACGAATAAAGTTTTTCAGCGGTGTTTCCAATCTATTTTAATGTATGCTTTTCTATTATATTTTATGTTTTACATTTTTAAAATACTGACTGATGTTATTTCATTCATCAACTGGATTTTGAATTTTGGTTTTGTTCTGCTTATTCCCCAATACTTGATTTTTCATTTGCTATTGTAATTTTTCAGTGTATACGTGTTGTATATATTTTTTATTCAATAATATCAAAATTATTCATAGCATCAATAATTTCTGCAGGGAAGGTTCCAGTTCTTCTTGATGGATCAAGTATAATACTCGAAAGCCTGGATATTTGTGAGTATCTAGAAGAAAAATACCCCCATCAACACCCTCTGTACCCCTCTGATCCTGAAACAAAGAATAAAGACCGAGAGTTGATTCAGAAAATTGAGGCTTCCTCTTCGCTTTATATGAGATGTTGCTTTGGAAAGGACGATAAGACGTCACCAGAGGAATGGGCCAAGCTGTTTGTAGAAGCTCTCCAAGATTTCGAGGATGAACTTGAAAAAAGGGGGACCAGGTTTTTTGGAGGAGAGAAACCTGGAATGGTATGCATTATTTTTTGTTGCTGTTTTTGGGTATTCAATCTTTCACAATCTGAAAAATGAACAAAGCTGAATCGATAGCAGATTCTCTGCAAAAAATACCTTCCAAAGAAGATGGTGTGTATTATGTTACACATGTTTCAAACCTTTTTCTTACAACATGGGTCATTCAACCATTTCCATTGTCCCCTTGTATTTTTTTGTATCAGTAATCAGGTATGTGTGATTGATGACTTGTTTACTTTATGGTAATTCATGATCACTTAAATGAAATGAATAAAAACACTTTTGTCTAAATACCACTGGCAGATTTTATTTGTACGACCGGTTTCGGTTTGACCACACTATCAAGTATAAAACTCACTTGATAATGGGGTGAAACCCGAAACCGGTCGAATAAATGAAATTTACTAGTGGTATTTAGACAAAACTGTTTTCATTCATTTCATTTAAAAAGTCAACATTGTTTGCAGTACGACCTTTAAACTGAGGACTGCTTATTCAATTCGAGATATCAATCGTTTAGATAGTAAATATGTAAAATTCCCTCAACTTTCTTGTATTTGAGAAGAAAATATTTGAAATAAATATGTTCCTTCAAAAACAAAATAACAGATAATAAATTTTATTATGGAAAAATAATACGGACTAAATTCAGATTGTTCTTATTTTTCTTAATTTATTTCTTCAGTCTTCCATATTATCTAAATATAAGTACGCCATAAATCTTCACAACGGTTCTTGTTCTGATCTTTTTTCTTGTGGATAGACCACAGTGATTCAATTTAAAATAAAAAAGACATATTTTTAGGAGATACTAGTTTTTTGGTAAAAAACTGTCTACTTCTCCGGCAATAAATGATAAATATTACGAACTTCCAAAGAAAGAAAATATTTTTCAGGTAAAAATTAGAAGAAAAAACCCTTTAGAAACAACTACTTTCATATGAACATTGAATAACATGAAAGTATAAAGTGTTTGTTTGTATCTGATTAAAACTCTGCATGATCTTCATATCTTCATGAAGAGATGATTGTTTATATGTATTGCCACTATGACAAAAGAAAAGGTGTCTCTTCCAGTGACATGAAGTCGCAATGCTATGACGTAAATGAATGCTTCATCTTGTAATTTCATCTAAAACGGTGCTAATAAGAAGATGAGACATATCTTCATGAGACATATCTTCTACATGAGACACATTTTCTACATGAGACATATTTTTATGAGACATATCTTCTACATGAGGCACATTTTCTGCATGAGACATATTTTTATGAGATATATCTTCTACATGAGACATATTTTTATGAGACATATCTTCTACATGAGACATATTTTCTACATGAGACATATTTTTATGAGACATATCTTCTACATGAGACATATTTTCTACATGAGACATATTTTTATGAGTCATATCTTCTACATGAGACATATTTTTATGAGGCATATCTTCTACATGAGACATGTTTTTATGAGACATATCTTCTACATGAGACACATTTTCTACATGAGACATATCTTCTACATGAGACATATCTTCTACGTGAGGCATATCTTCTACTTGACATATCTTCTACATGAGATATACCTTCATGAGACA